GTATTTTTTTTGATTTAACTCCTCAGGCAAATGAATACAAAAATAAATAAACATATGGTACCATATCAAATTACAAAGTTTTTGCCCAAAGGAAACCATCAACAAAATGAAAAGAAAATCAACTGAATAGGAGAACATATTCACAAATGATACATCTGATAAGGGGTTATATTCCAAAAATTATAAAGAACTCATACAACTCAACACCAAACAAACAAAGGGTTCAATTTACAAATGGGTAAAGGACCTGAATAGACACTTTTCCAAAGAAGTCATATAGATGGCCAATGGGCATATGAAAAGAGGCTCAATGTCACTAATCATCAGAGAAATGCAAATTAAAACCACAATGAGATATCACCTCACACCTGTCAGAATGGCCATCATAAACAAATCAACAAACAAGTGCTGGTGAGGATGTGGAGGAAAGGGAACTCTTGTCCATTGCTGATAGAAATGCAGATTGGTACAGCCACTGTGGAAAACAGTGTGGAGGTTCCTCAAAAAGTTAAAAATGTAACTGCCTTATGACCCGGTGATTCTACTTCTGGGCATATATCCTAAGAAACCCCAAACAGTAATTTAAAAGAATATATGCACCCTTATGTTTATTGCAGTATTATTTATAGTAGCCAAGCTATGGAAGCAACCCAAATGCCCATCAATAGATGAGTAGATAAAAATGTGGTGGTACATGTATATGATGGAATATTAGTTGGCCATTTGTAACAGCATGAATGGACCTAGAGGGTAATATGCTAAGTGAGGTAAATCATCCAGAGAAAAACAACTACTATATGATTTCACCTACAGGTGGAATCTAAAGAACTATGTAAGTGAATAAACAAAACAGAAAGAGACCCATAGATAGAACAGACTGGTTGTTGCTGGGGAAGGGTTTGGGTTAAAAAGGTGAAGATATTGAGAAGTACACATCGGTAGTTACAAAATAGTCATAGGGATGTGCTGCATAGGAAATATAGTCAATAATATTGTAGTAACTATGGATGATGCCAGGTGTACGCTGGAAATATCAGGAGGAGCACTTTGTAAAGTACATGACTGTCTGACCACTGTGAAGTACACCAGAAACTAATACTAAATAATACTGAATAATACAGAATATTTCAAACTGTAATTGAAAACAATCTTAAATGCTAAAAAAAAGATTTCTGCTCTCTTGAGGGTGGTAATGGTTTATTTCAAAGGTATGTTAATCTAGATGCACAGAAACAATAAATAAGCCTTGCTTACAGCAAAGATAAATCTTTTACTAAAAAGTTATATTCCTGGGGTGTGACTACCCACCATGACCTGCCCCGTTAGGAATTTATGATCAGATTACCCTGTGAGGTTATTTTCCACAGAACCCCTTTTTATCATCCACAAAAGTTTTTGCACAATGCTATTCTGGTTTAATTGGGAAAGTAAACAAGTATATATTGGCTATTACATAGAGGAGGAAAAAATTCTGAGACAGCTTTTCTTTCAATTTGCCATACGCTGTGTCATAGAGTAAGTAATGCTTACTCATTCTTTCACTCAGAAAATATTCACAGAGTGTTTATTTTCTACAAGGCTGAGTTTGGCGGTGAGGAATACAAAGCTAAATGGGAAACAGAACCTGTCTTCAAGGAACTGATGAGCTAATAAAAGAAATTATAAATGTGTAAATAAAATTAGTCTGAGTGCTCCAGTCAAAATAAAAGCATAGGTTATTTTTGGAATAAATCATGCTTATGTTCTAAACATAAACAAGCATGTTTAGAATTTAGCTATTAAATAGACCAAAGATGGCTACAGGCAAAGATAGAAGATTTATTTATAATGCATTGGCCATTTTATTTATACAAATCCAAGACACTTTCTAAAATGTAAACTTTATTATTACCTTAAAGGCCAGTCTTTCACCTAAGGAAATGCCAGGGTTCACCTTATTTAAAGTGCTGAGTAGTAGATATTTTGCCATTCTTCTGACTTATCTGACATTTTAGAAAATTAAATATTTAAACAAAATCAATCGTAACATAACCAATTGGAAGATTATAGAGAGCAAAGTGTGATCAGGAGTAGAGTAGCACTTTGGTAATTAAGTTCATAAAGGTATTCAATAATTCAAAGATTCTTAAATTTCTTCTTTGAAATCAAAAGTTACATTATCTTGAATGAGAATGAGCATAACAGTCCATTTACCCAGTGTTTCAACCTAATGCAGATTGGAGTCTCACCCTTTAAAAAATGTGTTGTACTTTTCCTATTGGATTAGAATTTAAACCAATAAGGGAAAGAGGAAATCTTTTAAAATATTCACGAAGTCAGGTTAGCATGATGAATGTTGAGTAAAAAGATTGCTTTGTTCTTAATTTAAGTTGGAGATTCAGAACTTTATTGTATTGATGTTTTTTCTTTTATTGATGTAGTGAGCACGACAAAAAAAATATTCAGCCTGGATGATGTCTTGGTGGCTTGAAATATATTTTCCAATGTAAAGAACACTTTATTTCTTATTGTTCAGACTTAAGGTGTGATGAATCCTCAACAATGTACAAAGGAAAATCAAGAATTTAAAGCCAGCTTTTATGGCCATTGTGGACATACTTCATATGAAAAAAGTTGAAATTAATTTGGTAGATTTGTTTGAAGTTTATAATTAAGAGGGTTTGTTAAAATAAACAAATGGAGAGTAACCCTGAAGATTCCCTGAGCAAACAGAACCAATTTAGTTACACAGATAAGGCTTTGTTTAGCTTTTTTCAAGACTGCCTTGATCTTGGTCACTTCTTGCTTAGGCTTCTGGAAATTCTAAACAAACTTGAACTGTTTCCCAAGGTTGTATGATGCAAACACTGAAAATTCTAATATTTTACCCAATCACTGTGAAAAAAAAAGTTACTGATTTCTCACTATATAAGCTGCTTTATATTCTATCTCTGAGCCTCATTCCAAGTTTTGGCTTGAGTGCTGCAGGTTTGCAAACTGTCTCTCTGGTGCACTCACAATAACTTTTTATTGATGACTACTTAATGATTCATTGGTTTTACTTTCTCTATTTCTGAACCTCTGACATTTATTTGTAAAGTAGCATATATCACTGCTATTAGTATCTATTAATGGCTGTTCAGAGGCAGAGTTAATATTCTCAGCTATTTGCACCTTGAAATTCTGGGTACTGTAAAATTTTTGCTGTTTTAAAATAAAAAAACACTAATAAAGGTGTTCACATTGTAATTTCTTAACACTGGGATTCAGGGAGATCTTTAAAAAAACAAATTAACACGAAAGAAAGAAAAACCCTTTCCTTTGAATTTTTCTGTGTGGGTGACTTCGTAAGAAAATTTACTATCTAGAGGTCTCTACTTAAATGTTCCTGGTTTCTAAAACAAACCAAGACAAAACAAAACAAACTAGACTGTTCCCACTGAGTATGAGATGTTCTAATTAGACCTAAATGAAGAAAAAAATCCATTTGCGATTTTCCCAAATTTCTACTCAGTTTAAAGCAATTACTATGACAACATCGACAGCTAGTTTGTTTGTTAGATTCAAAGGAGTACTCTGTCACCAGGCTATTCATTTCTCCATGAAAAATACTCTGAAAACGGAGTAAAAAGTGACTACAAAGGGAGGGAGGCGGGTGAAAAAACAAATAAGCAAAACCACTATCCACCACTAACACAAAGCAAGTATGAAATTTCGTGTACCTGAAAACACTGAATATTTGACGTCAGACCACAGCAGTAACAAGCCAAGAAAAAGCCGAGTTTAGGAAGGGAAAAAAAATGGAGGCTTAGGGACAAGCTGATAATACAGTGATCGCAAAACAGAAGAGAACACCTTTGCTTTTACTTGGCTCCGAAAACTGAAGCTCTATGTGGGGCAAAGGTCTGGGCCTGCGGTTCTACAAGCTTGTGTGCACACATTTTTGTGCTTCCACCAGTGCGGTTTAGACCGCACTTTGGAAGCGCGAGTTGGAACCTGACATCCTCCGACCCAGCGGAGGCCACGGTAGGTCCCTTTGTCTCCGGGCTCGAGGGTGGCCGCACTGTGTCCGTCGCCCTAGCGCGCAGAAGGATCCAGGGCCGTGCGCCCGGAAACCTCCGCCCACCCTCCCCCCAGCACGCGCAGAGGCGGGGTTTGCGCGTCCACCGCCGCCACCACCACCACCGTTGCTCTGTACGCCCGAGTCTACAGTCCAGTTAGGCAACGTGGAGGCTGGCTGGTTCGGCCTGCCCTCCCTCCGAACTTATAACCCAGGCCTGTGCGGGGCGGGCTCTCCCTGGCTCCCATTTTTCCCCTCCTCCACCAGCGAGTACGACCTTGTGTTTCTGTTTTGCTTTTGGGGCTTGGGAGAGGGTGCAAAGGGCTAGAAATTGGTGTGGTGCATCATGCTGTTTATTTCGACACGCACTTCGGGCTCCTTTTTGTCTTGTTCAGCAGTACAAAAACGGCTCCTGCCTTCCCCGAAAACCCATGTTGAAAAGAGCTTGCTCCTTCATGTGACCCACCCCACCTCAAGACCCCCGACAGCAGAAGGGGGAAACTAGTTAGGCTTTCGGGCAAGCTTTTTTGGGGGGGAAGGAGAGGACGCGTCCCACGTGGCAGGACCCGCCAGGCCCGGACTCAGCTCGCCAGAAGGAGCAAAGGAGGCGGGGGCGCCCGCGGGCCCGGGTCGTGGAGGCCTGCGGGGCGGGTGGGGCGGGGGGGGGCAGTCCCATGGGCCTCGGCGGAACCTGGGACGAACCAGAGGTCACAGCGGATGCGGGCGGCTGTGAGGGAGGGGGAGAGTGGCGATCCACCTGGGCTACGTGGCAGCCATTCCCTGGTCCCCGAGACCCCTCCCCATTCAGCCGCCCACCCGCCCTCACTGGGCTGGCTGCTGGGAAGCTGCTCTTCCGCGGTCCGACAGCGAGCGGCAGTATCTCTCCGCCGGGCGTTTGTCGCGCGTCTCCCCCGCGACCGCCGCTGCTCACCAGCCCAGCGCCGTGACTGAGAGCGCATTGGCGACGGCGGGAAAGGGCTGCGGACCCGCGTTGCGCACTCGACGACGCGGCCTCAGCGCCCGCGCCCTCTGCCAGCTGCTGGAGCAGGTAAAGGCGGCGGGTGGGAGGTGGAGCGGTGGGTCTCGGGTGAGGGTGCCAGAGGTTACTGGGCGGCAAGCGGCAGCAGAGGTCCGGAGGCAGGGCTGGGCGGCACTGCGACCAAAACCCAAAGTTCCAAACACGGAGTCCGGTACCGGCCCCTTCCAGCCCGGCCAGCGGGCCCGGGCTCCGGGACGGAAGGGAAGTGAGGCGTCGGCAAGAGGCGGGCCCTGGCGTGCAGCCCATTCCCGGGCGAAGGTGGGGGCCATGGCTATTTCCTGGCCTCCCAGTTCCTGGAAGGTTTCCAGGCCCCAGACACACCCCTCCCCCCACCAGGGGCTTTTTCGCTTCCCGCCAAGGCTGGCCCTCGTGTCCTTCCGAGCGCCTTTGGCGTTTTCCAGGAAGCACATTCCTGGAACTTTGGCCCATCTTTCCAAGCACGTAGCCCCGTAGCAAAGCTGTTTATTTACTCACTTCGTTACACGTTTTGATTTTGAATACTACAGGGAGACCTTCCCCGTCCCTGGCTTCTGTGCCTCCTTGACCCTGGTCCCCACCTGCCTCCCTCGCCGTGGTCTTGATCCTCCCTGGGACCTTCCTTGAACCCGACCGCCATCTGGACTCTCTTTGAGATGTCCATTTGAATATCAGTTTTTCATAAAGTCAGTCATCTGACCGGGAGCAGTTCATTCCTTATTCTCTTTTGGTTAACGCACTTTTTTCCCCCACAGAGAGCTAGAGTAATAGAGCGTGTTGATGCCAGATCATGCTCAGTGTTGTTTTTAAAGAATCTTTCGGCAGTAGTCTTTAAAACTAGGATCTGTTCTTTGTGGCATGGACAGGTTTGTACACATTTCGCCATGCAGTGGTTGTAATGTCTCCATAGCACAGTTCTGACTTGAAGGCAGGATTGGCTGGTTTTTCTACTAGACATCTTTAAGCCAATCAAACAGCGCTTTTTGCCCGGAGACTGGTTAACTCAGAAAAGGTGGGGATTGGTAGAGCTCAGAGAAGGGAATCCTGAAGATCAACCTGGCCTCTCACAAAGCCACGATTGATGTTCAGCTGCCTCTCTTCTCCCACTATTTAAAATGTTATCTTTTTACCCCAACATCAGCTTTTTTATTCCATTTCATTCATTGCTTTTTTTTTCACTTAAACAACCACTTCTCTTTGTAACTCGTTTTAACTCTCACCCTTCAGTTTTCAATTAAAGAAGCTGTACATGCATGAAATGTAAACATGTTTTGATAATCAGTGTGGTTCAATTTTCTTACGTTGTCCATTTTTAAATATCAGAAATGAATAATTTTTAGTTCTTATGCTAGAGCCTTTATTATTTAAGTGATTGTGCTAGAATGGGGGGCTGCAGTGATGGAGATGGTGGAAAGTAGTGGCTAATTTTTTCTACAAGGTGGCTACAGTTTAGTTCATGAAAAATTATTAGCATACAAAAACCCAATGCCAGTACAAATCACTGCGCGGTACTTACGGATGTCAGTTTGTGTACCTGTTGGCTTTAGTTGCTTTGAGGGGAAGAGTAAGGAGGACAGGACTATTGGACTTCATAGAAAAAGTGGATTTAAGTTATAGTAAAGGAATGCTTTTTTATTAAAGTAGGCATAGTATCTAATAACAATAGAGGCTAAATAAATATTTACAGTTCAGGTGCATTTTTAGTGGTGAGGATTTTTCTTTGAAAAATTTCATGATTCTTTATGGTTATGCATGTCTCTTATTAAAAAAACAGTAACCACACGAGTTAGATAATAGCTACATCATGTTTGTTTTTCTTCCTTTCACTCTTTTATATGCAAATTCACATTGTAAGTCTTAGAGAGGAGTCTCAGTTTGTGAGGTCAAGTATTGAATCATACATTGTTGTTAAATGCCTTTATAGATACTTTATATTAGGAATTAAAGAAGAGATGGAATTTAAAAAATATATTTTATGTCAGGCAGTGAATAAGCCAGGCATCATTACATCCTCACCACCCTCATCCCCACAATAATAAAAATGGCTACCATTTATGTATATGTATAGTAGCCCCTCCCCCTTATTTGAAGTTTTGCTTTCCTCATTTTCAGTTACCCATGTCAACTCCTATAATATTCAAAAATATTAACTGGAAAATTCCAGAAATAATTTGTAAGTTTTAAATTGTGTGCTGTTCTGAGTACCTCACTTCATGTCATTACATAGGCCTTGTATTATCTCACATCTCAGGAAGAAGGATGGATATAGTACAATGAGATGTTTTCAGAGACTATACCTGTAACTTTTATTACACTATATTGTTATAATTATCCTATGTTCTTAGTTATTGTTAATCTTCTACTGTGCCTGATTTATAAATTAAACTTTTTAGGCGTGTATGTATAGGAAAAAACAGTATATAGAGGGTTCAGTACTGTTTACAGTTTCAGGAATTCACTGGGGTCTTTCAGTGCATCCTGCTTGGTAAGAGGAGACTGCTGTATTGATTGATCACTTGAACATTTCCCCTTTTACTTTATAATGAGTAATTCAATTTGCTTATACAAAACCATATATAGGTTTTAACATTACTCTGAATTTTGGCTTATTGAATTTACTTTTAAGTGCCTTTCTATCCACTGTACTAAAGTCTTTAAAATATGGCAAGATGGAAGGTTGGCAGGCTGTTGGAACAGTCTCATAATTGCCCTCCAGAAACGTTATATTAGGATGTCTAGATTGAAGTTAATCAATTTGTGCTGTCCAAACTCACATAATTTCAAAAATTAAAAGAGCATTTCATTAATTTCCATGGGGAAATAAACCAGCTAAGCCAGCTAGGTTTTTATGAGTATTAGTCAGTGGAATTACTGAATCAAGGAACCCCACATGTTGCACTTGCCCAGGCAGTGGCTCTGGGTGTACTGATTTCTCTAAATGTTCCTGACCCGTGGTGGACAGTGTAGTTTTCTAAACGTGGGTTGTCTGTTCATATCCTTTGATCGTCTGTTGGGTCTGTTTTTTAAAGCTTTGAACAAGACTTAAACATATGGTTACGGATTTTTTTTTTTGGTAAGTATTTTTCTCCAGTTTGCTGTTTTATTTTTTTGCTTATTGTCAGAAGTTTAAAAAGTTCATTGATTATTATTCTTTTCCTTTGTCAATCCTTCACACTCCCAAATGAAGAAATTTTCATTGTTCCACAGATGTGATAATCAGTTTTTTCTAACATTTAAAAAATTTAACCAGAATTAATTTTAGTATGAAGTGTGACACCACTTTAACCTGTTTTACGGATTACTGTGAAATCATTTTAATGCCATTAAAAATTCCTCTTACCTTCTTGTTTTAGAAAGCCTATCTTATTACACATAAATTATAAGATGTATTGTTGTTAGGGCTACCTCTGGACTCCTATAATAGCTCTTTGATCTTTTATTGGATTTTGTAGCTGTACCACTTAATTTTACTATGTTTCATAATATGCTGTAGTATTTAGTAGGATGAATTTCCTCCCTGTGTCTTTGTTAAAAAAACATTTTATACAGTTTCTCTACTCATTTAATTTAAGAATTAGTTTGGGAGACTGACATAAATAATGCTTAATATTTCTATTCTGAAGCAGGACATGTTTTTTTTTTCTCCTAATTCTTTTTTTATTTTATTTTATTTTGTTTTTAATATATTTTATTAATTATGCCATTACAGTTCTATTTCCCCCCTTCATTCTCTTCCACCCTGCACACCCCTCCCCCGCTATCCCCCCCTTTAGTTTATGACCACGTGTCTCAAGTTCTTTAGATTCTATATTTCCCATACTATTCTTGCCCTCCCCCTATCTATTTTCTACCTACCATCTATGCTACTTATTTTCTGTACCTTCTCCCCCCTTCTCCTTCTTCCATTCCCCTGTTGCTAACCCTCCATGTGATCTTCATTTCTATGGTTCTGCTCCTGATCCAGCTGTTCTCTTAGTTTGCTTTTGTTTTAGATGTAGTTCTTAATAACTGTGAGTTTGCTGTCCTTTCACTGTTCATCTTTTTTATCTTCTTTTTTTTAGGTAAGTCCCTTTAACATTTCATATAATAAGGGCTTGGTGATGATGAACTTCTTGAATTTGATCTTATCTGAGAAGCACTTTATCTGCCCTTCCATTCTAAATGAAAGCTTTGCTGGATAGATCAGTCTTGGATGTAGGTCTTTGGATTTCATGACTTGGAATACTCTTTCCAGCCCCTTCTTGCCTGTAAGGTCTCTTTTGAGAAATCAGCTGACAGTCTGATGGGAACTCCTTTGTAGGTGACTGTCCCCTTATCTCTTGCTGCTTCTAGGACTCTCTCCTTCATTTTAATCTTGGCTAATGTAATGATGATGTGCCTTGGTGTGTTCCTCCTTGAGTGCACTTTCTTTGGGACTCTGAGCTTCCTGGATTTCCTGGAAGTCTATTTCCTTTGTCAGATTGGGGAAGTTCTCCTTTATTATTTGTTCAAATAAAGTTTCCACTAGTGGCTGTTCCTCTTCCCCTTCTGGTACCCCTATAATTCGGATGTTGGAACATTTAAAGATGTCCTGGAGGTTCCTAAGCCTCTCCTCATTTTTTTGAATTCTTGTTTCTTCATATTTTTGTTTGGTCATTTTTTCCTCCCTTCTGGTCAACGCCTTTGATTTGAGTCCCATTTTCCTTTCCATTACTATTGGATTCCTGTATATTTCCATTCATTTCAATTAGTTTAGCCTTCATATGTTCCTATTTCTTCCTCGCTTAGATTTATCGTCTCAGGGGCTCTGAGTTGTTCTTGAGCCACATTTTGATCCGTTCGTGCCTGTTACGTATGAGGAGTGGAGCCTTAGTTGTTCATCAGGGCAGGGCTACCTAGGTCGCTGGTTTGTGATGCCTTATGTCGGGATGTGGTCAGAGAGGGGCCACTCAGGTCCCTGGTTTGTGACTCTGTGTGTGGGGGCGGGGGTCAGAGAGGGACAATGGCGGTTCCCTCTGCTGCTTCCTGCCACTGGGGCCTGCGAGGTCTGTCGCACTGCTAGCTCCTTCACTGGTTTATTTGCATGCCAATGTGTGACCGCGATCAGCCCTCAGTGGGTCCACCACCTTGTGCCCTCAGTGGGTCTGCCCGCTACTCCACACCTGGGTAGAGTGCTTGGTCCGGTGGATCTTTCCTGCCAGACCCCACTCTGCTGCTGGCTCTGCCCCTCTTACCGGTTTGGCTGAAGGTTTCTTGTTGTCAGACTTCCATATAGTTCAATTTTCTGTAGTTTGGCTGCGTTTTTGTTGCTGAAACTTTGTTTTTAAACTTGATTGTGGGAGAAGATGCAGTGCTTCCACCTACGCCTCCATCTTGGCAGAAGTCCAGGACATGGGTTTTTAAAAAAAAAGTCCTTTCTGCCTTTGAATTTATTGTTTCTTCTGTTTGGAGTATCTACTATTCTCCCTGCCTTCCTTCCCCTAAACTCTTTGCTAACCTACTTCAAGATTTGAGTGGTATTTATTAGTCTTCTTTTCTTTCCCCAGTAAAGATAGTCACTCACCTCTGAACCTTTCGTGTATTTCCATTACTTGTGATTGTGGGGAGAGGGAAGACTCCCTTCCCTCCTGGGTCTTTTGGCTGATTGAAGAATCAAATTGGCGTGAGACAGATCGACAAGAGAAAATGAAGTTTCATGTGCATTGGCAACCCACATGTATGAGAGATTCAGAGACAAAAGGGGAAAATAAGGTATATGTGACTTTTTGAGCTAAGGATGAGGTAAGGTACCTTGGAGTTGCTTGCTTCAGAGTGTCATTTGCTGGGTGACAAGAAGGACAAATGTTTGCTATTTATTAGTTTGCCTTGACATACAGATACGTCATAAGAAGTTATATCTGATAAAAATGTCTTATCATGGGCAAGGCCCCTAATTCAGATTCTTTTAGGTAGTTAAGGGAGGGAGGCAGAAGCTTCTCTGGAAGGTTCAGGGTCTTAGTTGCCTTTATATTTATTTATTTATTTATTTAATATAATCTTTACTATGTTTGTTTTCCATTATGATTTAATCCTCTTACACCCCCGGGTCTCAGTGACCTTTAGCTCAAAATAACCTGCATACCACAGAAATACATCTTGGAGTGACTTGTTCTGAACCATCACACTGCATCTTGAACTACCTCCTTCCTCTAGTTACTATGAGCTTCACTGAATCTTACTTTTTTCCTTTGCCTAACACTCATCCCAACACTGAAGGATGTAGGCATTAAATAAATATTGGCATAAATAAAGGAGGTATTTTACATTTAAGAATATTTCTGTCTCCTTATTGTTAATTCTCTAATCTCCAATCCAAAGTTCTTTTCATGATAACTGGACATATATCATCTATGCTTATGATATGTCCATTTGTCTGCTCCCACATACACTTCAGACTTGGCACATTTGAAACTGTGGTCAGCAACCTTTCCTTTCTTATCCTCAAACCAAAAATAGGACACAGACTGCCTGTTTTCCATCTTCTTTCTAGGGGAATATTAAGTGAGATACTGCATATATGCTAAGAATTTAGTAAAGAGTAGACACTGCTAATACTAACTTGGCAGAAACACGGGCTAGTCTCCGTGTTGTCTTTTTCCTTTTATATTGTTTGATCACTGAACCCTGTTGGATTCTTTTTCCTTATTATCTCTTTATTCTCTAGGCTACCATCCTACTTCATTGTTAGCATCATATCTCACCTGGATTGCTCCAGTAGTGTTCTAAGTGGTTACTCTCTTCCAGTCTTGCTGTCCCATTCATTTTTCCCACTGTAGCCAGAGTAATTTATCTGACACACTCAAGCGTGTAACTCCCCTGCTAAAAACACACGTGTGTGTATGTGTGTGGTTTTTCATTGCCTTCAGGAAAAGCCTGAACTTCACTTGGTTTTTAGAATTTTTATGATCTGGCTTATTTAACTCTTCATCCTTTTTTACTTTCTACCTTTGCCCTGAATGTATTAGTCATATTCAGTTACTTGCATTTCTCCCTTAAGATGACAAATTAGTCAAACTAGGCCTGAGTACCAAAGCTTCCCTTTGTCTGGAATGCCTCCCCTGGTTTCTGCTTTCCTCCCTTTGGTTTTGTTAGCTGGTACTTGTCTTTTAGGCTGAGGTAATACCTCTGTGGGGAAGCTCCCTTTGACACCTCCAGGCTGTGTTAACACACGCCTTCAGGTCGTTTCCCTATCAGTCTCTTTTCTGTTATCATTTTGTAATTGCTTTCTGATTTGTCATCTTTGTACTTGTTAGGGTGAAAGAAAGGTAAATCGATTGTCTCGAAAAATGATGTAATTTATACAGAATATATTAAAAACAATTAAAAATAGTTTGGGAATTTAGCTAATAGGGAAAGGAAAGAGACATTATATTTGGTGGATGAAAGTTTTCAAAGTCAGGAAAGGCATACTGGGTCGGTCCTTTGATAGCTTCAATGAAATACATCTTTTGACATATTATTTCCATCTGTTTAGTTTTTCTATTTATTAGTTAGGACATGGATTGCAAGTAACAGAGATATACTTTGAGATAATCTGTGGAGGGAAAAGTTACTGGTTTAATAACCATACAGAGTGGGGCAAAAGTAGGTTTGCAGTTGTTTGTATGGAAAATAATACAATAAGTAAATAATACAAGAATAAACTTTCATGTACTCGCAACTGTAAACCTACTTTAGCCCTACCCTGTATAACAGAAACTGTATGGGTAGAGATTGCCTTAAGGTGTTAAGGGGGAAACTTGCCCATAATTAAATCCTTCCTGTGCTTACTTCCTGTACTTCCAGTATACATAGACTTCAGTGTTTGCATACTGGAGTCATTTCTCCTACTGCTCATACGCTTCTTTATGTGGTACGACCATGTTCCTTGGCAACACAGGTTTATCTGCTTACAGCCTCATGTCAGTGGTGCTAGATAGATTTGGTCACATGCCCATCCCTTGACCAATTCCTGCAACTGAGGGCACAAGGTACTATGCTTAGTTCAGCCTAGGTCATGTGATGTGCCCATTTATATGGCCAGGGGTCTGTTAGCAGAAAAATATACCTAGTGGGATAGAGGAGGAGAAGGAGGAGTTCTGAGGAGACACAAAGAATACCCATTATAATTCTTAATCAGCCTTCTGATTATAAATTTATTTTCCTAGGTACTTTATTTATGGGAAAGAGATCCTCTGTGTTGTTGACCTGAGTATTCCAGGTACTGAAATGGTAAGTCCAATATTTTAAAAAACTAAAATGGTTTAGTTTTGGTTTGTGCTGGCATATAACAAAATTTTGTTGAGCTGTTTGCTAAACATGACACATCTGCGAGCTGCTTATGCTTATAGGATGCTTATAGGCTAGTAGTCCAAATAAATGCAGAGTTGCTGAGATAGAGGCATATTTATGGTGCAGTGGGAGCTGCACCAGAAGCAACCTACTAATGGATAATGGAAAACTTTCTTGTAGGGAAGTTAGTTGAGTGAAAAAATAAGGGTTGAGTAGGTGGGAGTAGAGGGACTTTGGGCAGAACATATGTGAGGCACAGTGATGGTGAAATGCCCTCCTTTGTGTAGGGAAACATAATTAGATACCAGTGGAACAGAGAGTATCTGAGGGAAAGCAGAGGAAGAGGAGGCTAGGGTTAGTCTGGGGGCTAGATCATAGAAGTCCTTATGCTTTACCAGGGAATTGGAACTTGATCTTGAAAGCTGTAGAGAATCCTTTGGGGATTTAAAGCTGGACCTCTCAGGCTTTAAAAGTACCTTATGTATAGTATCCAAGTGGATAGGTTTGTCAGGCAGTTTGACTCTGTTGGGGTTCAGTAGAGAATTCTTGGCTGGAGTCACATTTAGAGGTCTTGAAGCCAAGGTTTTGAATGGACCTGGTACAAGCTGGTGGAGCAGAAGGTTAGGGTCAGAACCCAGGGGAACAGTGAAATCGAAAGAGTAGGCAGAAGGAAGGGAATCAGGAGGCTTCTCCGGAGACTGAGAGGGACAGCCAGAGAAACACCGGTAGGTGTAGGGGCGGATGGCAGTGGGAAGTTGAAACAACAAATGTAAACTGCTTTTATTTTAAGAAACAAACTGTATAGGAGATACCAGGAGTTTGTTTAATCTGAGTTAAAAATTCACCTGATCATTATTAATCGTGGGTATGTTGAGAAAACCAAGTTTCTGAACAGTTTTTCCAGTGTAGGAATTTGAGCTATTAGAATTACACGTTTTAAAGAGAGGGAGGAGAGGGTGGAGGCTTTTTGGTGGGTGGTGGTTGATAGGAAAGAAGTGATCAAGTAGGGGATATATGTGGTATGTGTAGTATCAGTCACATTGGGGATACAGAGTTCCTATATTTTGCACCTCGTTTCTTAAGCTATAAAAATACAGTAAATCTGTTGTATTTTACCAGGAGACCTGGAGTTGATGTCAGATTGTGTAGTTGTAACTAAATTTAGTTCATCTCTGAGGATTTCTTTTGTGATTTCTTTTACTGTCTTTTTCTGACTCAAACTTGGAGTGAATATTTTCTTTCCCTGCTAAACCACTTTCTCTTATTTTTGCTTTGTGGTTAAACCCTTTATCGTTTTTTTAAAGAAATGGTAGTAAACTATAACATAAATTTACCACCTTAACCATTTTAAGTGAACAATACATTAATGTTAACTGAATGTACATTGTGAATACAACAAATCTCTAGAACATTTCGTCTTGCAAAACTGAAACTCTGGACCCCTTGAATGATTGTCCTTTGCTCCCTACTCTAGTTCCTAGCAACCATCATCTACTTTCTGTCTCTGAGTTTGATTACTTTAACTCCTTGTGTAAGTGGAACCATATAGTATTTGTCTTTATGTGACTGGTTTACTTAGCATAATGTCCTCAAGGTTTATCCGTGTTGTAGCATATGATAGGATTTTCTTCTTTTTTTCAGGCTGCATGATACTTCATTGTGTGGGTGTGTGTATGTGTGTACACATACCACATTATCTTTTTTTAAAAGATTTTGTATATTTATTTATTGATTTATTTTTAGAGAATGGGGAATGGGGGTAGACCTCTCACATGCCCCCAGCTGGGGTCTTGGCCCACCCAGGCAAGTGCCTTGACCAGGAATCAAACCAGTGACCTTTTGGTTGGCAGGCTGGCACTCAACCCACTGAGCAACAGGAGCTAGTATATTTTCTTTCTTTTTCTGTTGAACATTATGTTGCCTGGACATTTAGGTTTCTTTCACATCTTAGTAATTGTGAATGATGTTGCAATGTACATGGATTTGCATATGTCTTGAAGTCCTGTTTTTAATTCTTTTGGATATATGCCCAAAAGTGACATTGCTGGATTGTATTCTATTTTTAATTTTTTGAGGAACCTCTATACTGTTGTGCATAGCGGTTGCATCATTTTTCATTCCTACCAGCAGTGCACAAGGGTTCCAGTTTCTCAGCATTCTCACCGACACTTGTCATTTTCCTCTTTTTTTTTTTTTTTTTTTTTTTTGGACAGTGGCCTTTTCTAATGGGGGTGAGGTGATATCTTATGGCTTTGATTTGCATTTCTATGATTAGTTAATTCAGTATCTTTTCATATGCTTATTAAGTTGTGTATCATCCTTGGAGAAAGGTATCTTCTGGTCCTTTGCACATTTTAAAAATTGAGTTATTTATTAATTTTTTAGTTGAGGGGTAGGAGTTGTTTATATGTTTTGGATGTTAACTGCTTATCAGATATGGTTTTCAGATAATTTTTTTTGTAGGTTGCCTTGTCATTCTGTTGATTGTTTGCTATGTAGAAATTATTTAGCTTGGTTTAGTGCTATTTGTTTTTTTATTGTTTTTTTTCATTACCATTTAGTACCCTTATCCCCCTTTTCCCACAATCACCACACTGTTGTCTATGTCCATTTTCCTTTTTCTTCACTTCCTCTGCCCCCTACCCTCCCCGTCCCCTTAGCTGTCCCTCTTGTTCTCTGAGTCTGTCTCTGTTTTGCTTGTTAGTTCAGTTTGTTCATTAAGAGTCCACATATAAGTGAAATCATGGTATTTGTTTTTCTCCAACTGGCTTATTTCACTTAGCATAATGTTCTCCAGGTCAATTCATACTGTTGCAAAGGGTAAAACTTTCTCTTTTTTATGCCAAGTAGTATTACACTGTATAAATGTCCCATAGTTGTTTTATCCACTCATCTACTGATGGACACTCAGGCTGCTTCTTCTGTATTTTGGCAATTGTAAAAATGGTGCAATGAACATAGGGCTGCTTATGTTCCTCGAAATAGTTTTTGTGTTCCTTTAGATATATTTTCAGAACTGGGATCGCTGCATCAAATGGCAGATCCTTTTTAAACTTTTTGAGGTATCTCCATACTGCTTTCCACAGTGGCTGCACCAGTCTGTATTCTCACCAATAGTGCAAAAAGGTTCCCCTTTCTCCACATCTTACCAGCACTTGTTTTTTGTTGATTTATTGTGATTCCCTTTTGGACCAGTGTGAGATAATACCTCACTGTGGTTTTAATTTGTTTGTCTGTGGTGATTACTGACTTTGGGCATCTTTTCATGTGTCTCTTGGTCATCCGGATGTCCTTTTTGGAGAAGTGTCTATTCAGATCCTTTGCCCATTTTTTAAATTGGGTTATTTGTTTTTTTTTGGTGTTGAGTTTTGTAAGTTCCTTTTAAATTTTAGATATTAACCCCTAATCAGATGTTTCATTGGTGAATATGTTCTCCTATTCAGTTGATTGTCTTTTTATTTTGTTGATGTTTCCCTTTTATTTTTGCCACCCACCCTGCCTTGAATTTAGTATCCCCCGCTGTATCTTTGGAAAGAAGTAATTGCCAAATCCAATATCATGAAACTTTTCCCCCTATGTTTTAGGAGTGTTGTAATTTCAGGTCTTAAACCCATTTTGAGCTAATTTTTCAATATATGATGTAAAGGGTTCAGCTTCAGTTTTTTAAAATTGTTTAGGGAGGGAAGGAGGGAGAAAGACAGACAGGCAGGCTGAGAGAGATACTTGTTGTATTCATTGGTTGATTCTTGTATGTGCCCTGACCCAGGATCTAACCGGCAACCTTGGTGTATCTGGATGCTCTAACCAACTGAGCTGTCTGGCTAGGGTGAAGCTTGATTCTTTTACATGTGGATATCTAGTTTTCCCAGCATCATTTGTTGAAAAGACTATCCTTTCTCCATTGTTTAGCTTTGGGATGCTTATGAAAGATTGTTTGACCATAGATGTGAGAGTTAATTTCTGGGCTGTATATTCTGTTCCATTGGTTTTATGTCTGTCTTTATGCCAGTGCCACATTGTTTTGATTACTGTAGCTTTGTAATATATGTTGAAATCAGGAAGTGTGAAGTCTCTAGCTTTGTTTTTCTTTCTTAAGTATGCTTTGCTGTTTGGAGTTCTTCTCTAAATTTTTACCCTTAAAAAACTTTCTTTTCATTTTTTTCCTTCTTAATTACAGCACTCATGATTGAATTTTTCTTTTCTTTTCAAACTCATGGACATGTAACCAGATAAACTTTCAAAATATGGCATGTGCCCTGCTTAATGAAAACTTGGCATATTTGAATTAGAAATTTCAAATTAAAGCCTAGTATTTGAATTAAAACTTTTTTTACTTTGTAGAATTAAACAAACCAGTTTACTTAAAGCAGGTTATATTTAAAAAACTTATATTAGCAAAATGCTTAGACATACAGAAAATTAGAATAGTATAATACATTGAACTCATGTATATTCACCTCTTAGATGCAAGAATTGTTAATAATTTTGCCACGTTTGCTGTATCTATGTGTAATTTACATGTATGTATAAATTTCCTGAACCATTTAAAAGTAAATTAATAGTGACAAATGAGATATTTTTGTTTTTATTCTACTTGAGTGTTATGTACTTGTATTATAAGTGAATATATTTTAGACTTTGATAAAGTTTATTTATCAGAATTTGAAATTTGCTCTTCTGAAAAAATTTTAAAAAGACATTATCTTTAGTACATATTTTCATGTGTAACCACAAAACAATTATTATTTCTGTTAAAATTAACAATAATTATCTAATAGATAATAATCATACCATAATCTCATGCATACTCTTGTTTCAAAAGTATCTTTTATTGTTGTTCTTAAAAATACCAAATTCCAGTGGATTGAGCCCCAGCCTGTGAACCAAAGGGTTGCCAGTTTAATTCTCAGTCAGGGCACATGCCTGGGTTGTGGGCCAGG